AATAATAATAATAATAATAATAATAATAATAATAATAATAATAATAATAATAATAATGGATTGCATTTATATAACCGAACCACGGTCGCCCCCAAATTATGTGCTTAACAAATTTATTAGACCGCTCATCATAAAAATGAGAAAACAAAAACCTGAATTTATATTATTTATCAGACTAATGACATTTTTTTTGTTTTGTTTGTATTACTTTTGCCACAGTTTCCCACAGATGTAACAAACTAAGTTGGAGGGACAGTTTTCTTTGCTTACTATCCAATCATTCCTAGTTGGAGGCTCACATTTGAACTATTTATGGGTCATGATTAGCGCCTCTGTGCTGTCTTTCAGTCCAGCTTTGCCCAGCCACTGGTAGGACTTCTGGATGTCAGTCACTTGTGTTAAATAGGCCCTTGACAGCATAAGACCCACATCATGTATAGCTGCTTCACCAGTAATTATGTGCTGTTATATTTTCCAGTCAGACAATCAGCACATTTGGTGTAGTGCATTTAAACAAACTGTAAGACCCGGATATCATTAAACACTCCTCTAAATAATAAATGCAGCCTTTATAACACAGGTTACAGTTATTCCCAGCACTTCAGTTACCTGTTACATTCCCCATGTGGTCAGGTGGGACAGTTGTGCTATAACACAGTCCCGTGTCATTAAAACCTACATTCTGAGCTTCTAATCCTCATTCAACTTTTGTCACATTGTGCTAAACACTGATCATTGAAATGTAGCTGAGTTTAAATGTTATTGTATGCAGATTGAAGAGGTTCCAGGAGATTTCACACAGGATGACTTAGCTGAAGATGACGTGATGCTGCTGGATGTCTGGGACCAGGTACTCAACTGTAGAACACGACAGACATCTTAGGACAAAGTGAACAACCCCTCACACGCACTCTTCTGTTGTAGGTGTTTGTCTGGATTGGAAAGGATGCAAACGAGGTGGAGAGAGCTGAATCTCTCAAATCTGGTGAGCTTTTGACTTTAGTCAGAATGTTATTAAGTAGCATGAGACAAACTATAGTAATATTCAAAGATCTTTGAATAATAAAGAGACTATTTGAACCTGTTCTGAAATACAATAGCTAACAGCTGATGGGAACCCTTAATTATATTATTTTTTAGATTTTTATCTACAAAATTCATCCTACAACAAACTTTTGTTTGAGGTTCCTGTCTGTGACTCACTGTCTCCTCTGCAGCCAAACAGTACATTGAGTCTGACCCAGGGGGGCGTGACAAGCTGACTCCTGTGGTGGTGGTGAAACAAGGCCATGAACCTCCCAACTTCACAGGCTGGTTCCTGGCCTGGGACCCTTCCTACTGGGACTCTATCACCAGGAGCGTGAAGTCTCTGAATGTTTAAAACATTCACATGATAAATCACCAGAACACAGAAATATTATCATCTTTATAATCAGCACAATTTAAATATATATCTACATGTGTACTGTCAGTGGTAGATTTCTTCCCTAAAGTTTGAATACAACAAGCCTCTAAACTTTAGAGGCTTGTTGTATTCAAAGCAGTCTGTATTAAAATCCTTTAATGGGAACAGTCCTGTATTCACTGCACGATAAGCTGCTTTCTCATACCAGCTGAAACAACTCAGCTTGCTTTGATAGTAATCAGTAATTAAAGGTTTTTATGGCGTGCATAATGTTACGAGTGTTTATGAAGTCTTGGCCAGCTGAGGGTTTCAAATGAAGCGATACTAGCTCTGCTCATCCCTGTTAGTACTCTTATTGCAGCATATTGGATTAACTGAAGGCTACTGTGTCATCTTCTAGTTCAGCAGTCCAGGGCATTATTCTCTGGAAGGATGTTCCTGATTTTGACAATATTGTGCAGCTGAAATAAAGCATGTAAACTTCAGAGCTATATAATAAAAGTAGATAATCAAATGTTGGAAGTTCCTGCGTTCTGTTCTTCTTTGGTCTGTTTTGACACATCCACGGTGCAGGCAGTGATACATAATGGTTTACACCTCCTGATGCATCATCATCTGCCAGGACACTGGAAAGTTTTCTTTGCCATCTGTTTTTGTATCGGTCCTTCTGAATCCCTTAAACTTACAAAAACAGCAGTTTTAAAAAATGCAAATGCATTGCTCTGAATATGTGTATTGGCTGCTCTGTGCTTGCAAGATGTGTACTGGGTAGCTTTATATTTACTGTGTGAATGAGAGTCATCCATTTCCTGTGAATTGTTACCACTTCTTACAACAGTTGAAACAAAAGCGTGGCAGACTCGGTGTATTTAGTCTTCTAGTTTCTCCATCCATGTATGCAAGTAGTCACAGTCTGAATGATACAATTCCACCACCAGAGGGTGAACACGAGGCCCGGTGTAGATGTTTGTATGCCCCCAGATGAATTTTACATTTCCAAGCACCAACTATGCCTATAATAATATAATTAAAAACATGTAATAAACAATATTTGGCCACGACATTCATATTGATCCAAAAGCACGTGCAATCTCAACCTCATCCACAGAGCAGAGTTGCTCATTTATGGGCTGGAGACAATATGATAAAAATTAAAATAAGCAATGTAGTTGTTTCTTTGTTTTTTAAATTGTATACATGGGGCTTAGCACTGGTGCTTCACAGCAAGAAGGTCCTACTGCACGAATCCACCATCTGTCTGGGTCCTTTCTGTGTGGAGTTTCCATGTTTTCACCCGGGGCCCGGTGACTTCTCTCCGGATACTCCCGCTTCCTCCCACAATCCAAAGACACGCGGTTAGAAGGATTATGTTAATTCGTAATTGCCCAGAGGTGTGAATGTGTCTGCCTCCCTGCGTCTAGCCCAGCGGCGGACTAACGACCTGTCCATGTGTATCCCGTCTATAATGTATTTTTAAACCCTTCAACATAATTTAGGCCACTGTGTGTGGAAAACTAACCTGAAAAACTGGCCTTCTTCCAAATAAATAAATAAAGAAATGCATAAAGAAACCTTTCGACCGACACGTGCTCTTTGATGCACAGTCCCGGGTTTGAGTGTAACCGCGAAGTGAGTCGCTAAATAAATAAATATATAAATAAATGACTTTAAATTAACAGTGTTACATAACTTTGGAAAAATTGAGGTTCATGATAATTAGACTATAAAGTGCATGGAATGAATCCCGAGTAACTCTGAAATAGTATAAACATTTAATATCACTAGTATCCATTACTACTACAAGTATTACTACAATCCCGTTTTGACGAATGTTCCCGTGGTGGGCGTACAACACGAGGGGAATCGTATAAATAGGCCACTGACGCTGGACTCGCAGCTCTTGTATGATTATAAGATTTTACACGAGGATGATGCATTATGGGGAAACCTAAAGCTATATAATTTCCTATTTCAAACCCTTCCAAACAACAGCACCCTTTGTATCGGTACGTTTAATGAGCCCTTCCCTTTTACGTGATTTGCTTCGAAGCCTGTGGAAGTCAGCCAAACCAAATATGCCGGCTGTGCTTTTATTTTGAAAAGCGAAAGCGGAAATGGTGGTGTTTATTCTAGTGGTCTTAGCGCCGCTGCGGAATGGAGAGGTAGTAGTAGTTGTAGGCGTCTGAGGAGGTGACAGCGGTGGGTGACCGAACCTGTGGACGCACTGCCAGCTGTGATGGGTTAACATCGTTTGTCGAGGTACGTTTCTTACGCTGCTACTGTGACGGATCCGTTCTTCTGTAGAAAACAGCGATAACAGCCGGGAAATCATATCCAACCCCAGAGACAGCTCAAATTAATTTCCCCTCAATGAAGCAAATTGCGTTGATGTCCGCCTGCTTTGTCATGTAACGCTAACCTAACGCTGCTTTATATGTAAACGTGCATAAAAGGCCCAAAGCGCTAAGACTGCTTTTTCCAACACTTGTTGGCTTTGCAAGCGAGTCAGGTCTGTAACACAGGACCCACAGCACTGCACGCCAGACTCCATTTGGATCGCTCACAAACTGACGCCGCTCCTCGGATAACAAGCTAAAGGTATTCGCAGTGTTTGATATAGATCGAGATGTTTCATCAATCTTGATTTGCCATATTTCAGTTCGGGCTAACTCTTAATACTAGGTTTTAATGAAGCGCTGGTGGCGCATCACTTATCGCCGTCTCCGTGTGTCTACCTTCAGTGAGCAGGGCGGGAGCGGCCGCTGCAAACCGGGCATAAAGTCATAGAAACGCAGTTTTCTTGTCGTCGGAAACGTGTTCATCAGCGACCTCGCGGGAGCCCAGTTCTTCAGCACATGTCGATTTGTTAGTAACGTAAGATTTATTTTAATTTATAGATTAGAAACGGACCTTTCGGCATAAAGAAGTCGGTTGCCAAGCAACACATTTTTAAAGCAACATGTCAGTGTGCTCAGTTTAAAAAACACAAAGGCCGGTTTTGATCTGTCCATGGAGGTGACGGATGGATTTGGGGGGAATTTAAAAGATCTCCTTCCCCGTTGTTTACGAGTCACACGTTGAAGTGCGCCCTGCTGTTTTATTCCGAGCTCAGTCCTCAGTGTCAGCATAATGTAAGGGTGTGTGGGTTTATTCACTTCCTGGGTGTTTGTGCCCTTGTAAAGTAACAGAGTGCTGTGTGTTTGCATGCCTTGACTCATGCATTTCTCCTCTACATTCTAGCTTTTGCTGCAGTTCTTTCACAACAAGATCAACCTCGGGAATATTTAGTGGCAACTTCTTTCGGTCTGTGTGCCAAGATGGGAAACGGACTGTCGGATCATCGCTCGCTGCTCCCCTGCCTCCCCTGCTTTCAGGCTCTTCACATTGTCATTCTAGGACTGGACTGTGCAGGCAAGACCACTGTGCTGTATCGCCTGCGTTTCAATGAGTTTGTGAACACTGTCCCGACCAAGGGATTCAACACAGAGAAGATCAAAGTGTCTCTTGGAGGCAGCCGTCGGACTGCGTCTTTCCACTTCTGGGACGTAGGCGGCCAGGAGAAGCTGCGGCCTCTGTGGCGCTCGTACACGCGCTGTGCTGATGGCATTGTGTTTGTGGTGGACTCGGTGGATGCCGAGCGCATCGAGGAAGCCAAGGCAGAGTTGCACAAAATCACACGGCTGGCAGAGAACCAGGGTGTGCCGGTCCTTGTGGTGGCTAACAAACAGGACCTGCGCAATTCTCTTAGTTTGCCTGAGATGGAGAGCATGTTGTCTCTAGGTGAGCTCAACACTGCCACACCCTGGCACCTTCAGCCTGCTTGTGCCATTATCGGCGAGGGGCTGCAGGAGGGACTGGAGAAGCTCCATGCCATGATCATGAAGAGGAGAAAGGTGCTGCGGCAGCAAAAGAGGAAGAGATGATGTGCTAGTAGAGGAACTACAAACTATGAGCAGAATCTAAAGCTGCACAAGTACGGCTGAATACAACACTGGGTTTAGCTGGAACAGTGATACCCATTCTGTCAGTTGCCCCTTTTTGTTTGGGTCTGTTCCTTCAACTGAAATGGCTTAAAGTTAGCCGGTGCTCCCACTGAGGACAGTGCAATGGATTCTGAATGCAAACAGTCATTCTAAAGTTAGTGCAGCAATACGCCGAACTCTCAAAGAAGGACAAAAAGCTTTTGTTGTGTTTATTTGTTGAAACATGCGCTGTACCAACTTAAAAACAATCAAATAAGTCTCGATCGTGTATATTCCACCAAAGCTCTGAAAGTTGACAACGACTCACTAAGTACAGAATCACTACTGACTCCTAGAAACAGCGTCACGTGTCACAATCGCTACAGTTGAATAGAAGCTATTTTTCAGAGGTGCGCCTGTGTTCCTGCTGACACGTCTCGATGACATGACAAGAGTACACTTACACTAATTGATTCTCATCATCTGGCTACTGTTTAAACATAACAGTAATCTGATTCTTCACTTGACAGCAGTGTCAAAAGACCAAAATGTGACTCATGTGAGTTGTTTTCTTAGCATGAGGCTGCTTTTCAATCAACTGCACCAAAAAAGGGCTTTATATACTCTCTGATATTAGTTTATATTACAAAATGTAGTCAATAATTGACGTTAGTGCTCAAATATTTAAAGCTAACAACTATAACTACTGTCATAAAAAACCACAGTGAGAAGTCAGAGTCACACTTGGAGTAAGATGACAATCAGTCAGCATTATACTTTTTGATATGCAAGTGTCATCTGCATTGCTGCTAAGATGTTCGTTTTCAGGTCACCAGCCACATTTCTTCATTTATTAAGTTCTTCAGGGTCATGTCTCCTTGTATTGCAGAACATAGACTGGACCCACATGCTTTACTTGCATTGTTGTAACGTCTAAGCCCGTCCTGTGATTACTGTGCCACTGTCAGTGCTGCTAACATTGGATAAAAACTGTGATGTTAAACGTCATCTGAGAATTTATTTTCATGTTCAGTGAGTAGTGATTGTTTCTTGTTTTTTTACTTCCTTTCATGTTTGGAATTTTTGTTGTAAGGCATTAATAATACACTTTTAAAAAGTAATGCTCAAGTACTTTTTTGGACATCGATTAACATGATCAGAGTGGAAGCGTCGAAGCGTTTGGGTGTATGTAACTGTCAGTGAGATAAAAGGCTGAGCAGTTCTTACTGATTGAGTTAAGGATTCGCAGCCACCGGCTTTTGCACGTCTCAGTGCTATGAACGCGAGCTTGTTCGCTTATTCAAAGGTAGCCTAACGAGGCTTTACAAGTTTACAATTTGGTAACTTTGTGGGGAAAACAGAAGCAAACTCGGTGTCACTGGTTCCAGCTGCACCACATGTGCTGTTGAAGGTAAACGTGTTATCGTGTGTCCTTGTGTGTAAGCAAATGGGTTGTGTAGCACCAAACTACAGGACTGCATCCAAAGTCGGGGTGCCCATGGATGACCGTGATGGACAATTATTTGCTATAAAACACGACTTTGATTCCACTTCTTCAAAGGAAGGGAATTGTACATCATGTGTTCAGTTATACTAATAAAAGTACATTTGTAAATCCGTTGGTTAAACAGGGCCGTTAAAAAGTGTTTTCTCCTTTCCTAATTTTTATTTTTTTGGCATGTTTGTCATACAAATCTTTCACACAAAGATGCCCCAAGTAAATACAAAATGTAGTGTTAAGGGATTATTTCATTTATTGAGGCTGGTGGGCTTACTTGCTTTTATTTGTTACTAAGGGAAAAGCTACCAACATGCACTGTGTGGAAAAATATTAGCCTAAACCTAATAACTGCTTGTGCCAGCTTTGAGAGCAGGAACTGCGATCAAGCATTTGAAATAATGTAATGAGTCTTTGGAACTACTGTGAAGGAGTTTTGGCCCACTTGTCTTTACAGAAGTGTTCAGTTGAGCCGTATTTGAGGATTGTTGAGCACGAACTGCTTTTCATGGTCATTCCAGAGCATCTGGATCAGTTTTAAGCTCATTTCAAAACATCCAAAACCTTGATGATGGTTTTCTTTGTACCATTTCGAGGTGGACTTGTTGGTTTGTCTTGGGTCACTGTCCTGCTGAATAATCCGAGTGCACTCAAGCTTCAGGGCATGAACTGAGCTGGGTTTTCTTGTAGAGCTAAATTCATGGTTCCATCAATTACAGTACGTTGGTCAGGTCCTGAAACAGCAAGGCACCTCTAGATCATCACACCACCACCACTACATCTGACTTTTAACTGGGTCACCCACTCCTTTGTGGATAACGGCTTTCACCATGGTTCAATGAAGTCCCAAAGACTCTGTTTCTAAACTGCTCCTGAGTGTCTTTAGCTCGAGGACATGCTGTCTTTTGCTTTATGGGATCTTTTAGCTACTTCATTTTATCAGACTTTGTGATTTCTTGGTTCATCAGGTCTGAGTGTAGCTTTTCAAAAACTCTGGTTAATCACAGTTCATTCATGGTTTAATAAGGGGCGGTAATTACTTTTTGCACACAGGGTTCAGATAGCTCTTTAATAAATGAAATAATTAAACTAATATTGTATTAACTTTGGATATCTTTGCCTAATATTATGAGTATAATATATATGTAAGTGTGACAAATATGTAAAATAAATAAGAAGTCAGGAAGGGGGCAAATACTTTTAAATAAAAGTAAAATAGAAAGTTGCTCTGAAGCACACGAAAGTCAAATATCTGTCCTGATAATCTGAAAGTGTTTTTATCTGAACTACGTGCTGGATGAACACAAAATTGTTAGTTGGCAGTTTGCAGAAATGGTCCTGCTATCTCTTCACTCGGTGCTAAACGGTTGGTTGGGTGGGGTCTTGTCGGCAGGCAGCCAGACTCTTCTCAGGAAACCGAAGCAAGGAAGGGAGTGGTTCCTCTTACATTATCACCGTATCCTGTTCTCAGCTCTGAAAACTGCAGTTTACACCGTTCACAGTTGGAGCTGACTGGGAATCAGATTAGAAGTCCACACAGCTTTCAAACGTCCCACCTCAACCCTGCACCCCTCTCCGCTGCTGAGTATACACCCCAACATGGATGGCCATGCTTTTAAAGTCTTTTTTTCTCAGCTGTTTAAAAGACTGGAGGAACGGCTATGAAAGATATGCTGCTAGCCACTGGTGCTGCTACTGTGACCCCTGAGTTAGCTCAAACTCACATTAGCTGACCTGAAAGTGATTCAAAACACTGTAATGGTTGGAGACCAGTATGCCCTCAGTAACAGTCATCCTCCAGTGTCCTTAGCAGGCAGCCGACTGGAGTAGATACAAGTAGAAAAGTGGTGGCGTCTCTCAACCTCATTTTGACCTCATGTCTAAACACACACGTAGAACCTGATAGAGAAGCTGCAGCCAACAGTGTGTCTTCACTAATCCATCATTAATGAAACTCCAGGACCAAGAAGCCCAGGACTGGTATGATTATGTAGAAACAAATGACACCTTCAGTAGTGTTTTACTGCCGGCGGTCACCCTCCAGCCAAAGGGAAAAGGCAGTCTTGACCTGGCACGCCGCTCTACTTTGTGTAATGGAAAATACACAGGGGTGCTGGGCAGATACTGCTGTGGAGGAAGGAAACTGCAGATGCTTGAATGACAGCCTACCGACTGTGTTTAAAGTGGACATGACATGTAAAAAGGCTCATTTACAGCACAGAGCCCTGCTCTAAAAACTGTCACAGACTTAACTCTGTGAAGCTGGAGAAGTTCTTAGAACATGTTTAGCACCACCATGTGGCAGAAGAAGAACATGACATGATATGTGTCTTATACACCCAAAGAGTATGGTATTAATACACTAATGCAGTCACTCTTCATGTAGATTTAAGTTTACACAGCCCACCATGGATCGCAAGAGTTTTAAAAGCTCATCTATTCTCCTGGTTTACACACTCTAAGTATTTGTGTTCTCTTCGGTCAGCAGTGGGTTTTGCCTCTGAACTCTATCATAAACACCATTTTTACCCAGTTTCTGTCATATTGTAAAATCATAAACACTGGCCTTAACTGAGGCAAGTGAGGCCGGGAGTTCTTTAGCTGATGTTCAGGGTCCTTTTGTGACCTCCCAGATAAGTCGTCAGTGCACTCTTCGAGAAACTTTGGTAGGCTTAACAATGTTTCCTGTTTCCTCTATTTGTAAATAATGGCTTTAGGTATGATTTTACTCCACTGCCGGTGTGTTCGGGATCATCGGCATGCTGAATAATAAAGCTGTTTCCAATTAAATGGCTTCCAGATGGTACTGCGTGATATCTGACTGTACTCTGCTGCTTTCCCAACACCATTTGCTGAAATGTAGTAGAACAAAGAACACACACCAAGAATACTTATTCAGCGTTTTTCAATAAGTAATCTTAATAAAGAAGACTGTTGCTACCTCAAAGCACATTGTGTACTGTCGGTCCTGCGTACAACAACATTCAGTATATAGTATTTACTGTTATTTACACTTAGCTAGATTAATGCGATGGTGCTGTGTTTATTATGTTGCTCTCTTTTCTTTCTCTCAACAGGTGATCCAGGACATTTGTATATTTCTCACTGTCCCTCTTCCTTCTGTTTTTCTTTTCCTTCATCTTTCTCTCTCCCTTTCCTATCCCCCAGCCATGTCTGTCCCGTCTGTAACAACTGAAAATTAAATTAAATTAAATTAATAATAACAAAAAAGTTGATTAAACGGACCAATATGGCAAGGCCGTGATGATCCACTTGGTAAAGTAAATCCATTGGGTATGTTTGTGGGCCTTCAGACATCAATTCTGACGGCTAAAGAACCAAATGAGACAGGCAGAAAAAAGGAGACTGCATTTTTTTAACTGCAATTACACCAGTAAAAAATACCTTTTTCTATTCTTAGAACCGTCTTAGGGACATGGTCAAATGTCTTCTCCAAGTCCACAAAACAGACGTAGACTGGAGGGTCAAACTGTCACCACACTCGAATATAGAATAAAGAGCTGGTCCGGTGATCTGCAACCAAGATCAACATCACACTGATGCAACTGAATCAGAGATTCAACTTCCCATCACCGAGTAGATACTCACGAAATCAAAGGACCGGTGAGAAAATGTGATGCTTCCAGCTAGCTTTGAACCAGAACTCTGAATTTAACTTACTGTATCCCAAGTTGTATGTTCAGCATTACTTACTATGGTGATTTAACCAGATTTTAAAAAGAGCCACTTTTGTGACACACAAAACTGACTTGTCCCATTTTTCATGTGCCACCACGCTGCCTCCAGCCAGCTCAGCTCAGCAACAGTGAAGCAATTGGGGCAGATTCATTTCGCTCTGTGGCTGACACACTTCGTACTTACAGCTTTATAGTGCAGCTCAGGCAGAGGAAATGTTTTTTCTAGACAGTATAAAGGGGGCAAAACTGTTTTCAGTTCAACTTCACAGTGTTGCCTTCCTGCTTTTGGAGCTACTTCAACCATATATTCCAACATCACACTATTTAGAAAATGTGCTCCATCATTCTAACTACACGGCTCACCACTAACACGTGAGACTTAGCTTTCATGCTGCCTTCTTTACTGCCACAGAGAGTAGGTTCCTGGCACTGTACAGGAATGGCGTGCTACACTGGGTATTCAGTGCCAGTAACTGTTTTACTAGTCTAGCCCACTTGAAGTCACACAGAGATATGCCCCATTAAATAAGAGGTTTGACTCCCCCTGTCCTCGACTGCTGACCCACAAGGCAGGATATTGTCCACAGGGTCATAAATTTCCCTCGGTGTCGCCTGCTCTGGCTCCTGGAAGACAGTTGACTGTGGCTGCTGGTGTCTGTAGCTTGAATGTCTGAGAACAGAATCACCAAGTACCAGAGTTTGATTCCCAGCAGGTGTGTCACCGAGCGGAGGAAGACAGACACATGTGGGTGGTGAATGGGAGAATAGTCTATGTTGATTATTATAAAGGAATATCTGCATCTTTTGTTAGGCCAGCAGTTTGATTGCTTATTGTGTCAATTAATATCTGCACTATTTACATGACGAGACATCACGATTATTTAGGTAATAGTATATAGTGCATATAATGCTGTGGGTTCTCTGAAGGACAAAGTGACACATCAGAGGAAGTTTTACTCCCAGATATAACTCAGCTGCATGCCTTAAAGCTAATAACGCCCTCAAAGCCTTTAGTGAAGCCAGAGTTCTGCAGTGAGCAACGGACTAGAAATCCATATTGTCCCATATTAGCAAATAAAGGCAAAGCTTGATTAAAAATTTCTAGCCTTTAAAGACATGTTTAATAAAACAATTAAAAATGTAGTTTTGAGCAATTTAGTAACTAAATCTGAGAGCTGGGATAGACTCCAGCTCCAGCAAAGGACAAGCAGAAGCGACTGGATGGATTTAGTAACTATTGCACATAGAACATAACCTAAGCACAATAAGCACCACAGGCCGTGCCAGTGCAGCAGCGGTAGGGGGCGAGGGTTGGGTCATGCTAAAATAGTCTATCGTGCTAAAATAGAAACTAAATGTGAGCTACTTCTATTTCTGGGTGGTATTTATATTGATGCTTTTCTACTTAGCCTTTTCCATAA